AGTAGTGCGCTGCTTCTCATCCTCTTCTGAAGATCTGTGCCCATCCCTGTCGAAGGACTGAGATCTTGAAGTGGAAATATTGTTGCTGCCATCCGCTGTAGAATCACCTTCACTGTACGTTGTGCCGGCTGTATCGGAGTCAATCGAAGTATCGATTGTGTGGCGAGGGCCGATTCTCGCTTGACCTTGGCAGCTACCTGTCGGGCTCGCTCTTGGGCTCGCTGCTGGGCCGCAGCCGCAGCTGCGGTTTCGCTTTCCACGACTTCGTGGCGTTTCGGGGCTCTGTACCGGAAGCGTCCGGATTAGATTGCAAGACCTTGCATCGTACGTGTGAAAGGGATCAGACGCACCACGGAGAATGGATGGTTTTGGCTTTTGGACAACGGTTGGGTCACCGCCCGGCGAAGAGCTTAATCCAGGGACAGCAGCCGAGTCGAGAAAGGGATTGTTTGCTGCCGCGCTGCTGTTGAAACGCACGCGGCCCTTCTCCTTCTTCAGGGCTTGGGCGTGGGCTTGAGCTTGCTGCTCATACTCTTGTGTAGGGGATGCAGCGCCGGTATCGGCCGGGTTAGCAGGCGGGGGATCGTCATCGTCCTGAGACTGGAGAGAACCGTCCATGGCATCGCTTTTCCAAAGAATTTCCTGAAGATAATGGGGAGATTGAAGAGAATGGTACGAAATGAACTTGGTTTTGGAGGCAATTGAGAAGTATCAAGGGAGTTTTAGGAGGTGGGAGGGGGCGATGCGCGTCTGAGTAATAAGTTGAGTTCTGTCCAAAAACTTAACATCGGAACGCGAGTCACGATACGTCATCCACTGGGGCATTTTTTACGTTATGAGAACCCGCAAAAGTTCCACAAAAAGAAAGCTTGCTTGGTTCACTATCCATTTTCCCCAGAATGTGAGTCTGGGCCCTTGGAAGTTCAAGATTTTTATCATGGCTTCGCCACTTGGCGACACTGCCCTCGCTTCCCTTGTTAGGGTTAAAACATTCAGGGATCAAAAAGCCATGACATTCGCAGAGCCCTTCTTGCAACAGGTCTCTTTAATCATGGTAATTGCCAGGTTAGATCATGCAGACTGGGATCAAACGGGTTCAACTTCGCACTGAAGCATGAGTGATGTTGTACCACTTGCCAATCATCTGTGTTGTATTTTCTTTTTGCTAGTCGTTTAGGGAACGAGGTATACTCGAACCAACGACTGGATGATCAAGAGTGGCCAGTACAGCACTTAGACTGCCTCATTGTGTCCGATTCAAGAAAGCAGGTCGGCGCCGAACTTCCAACTTAGGCTAAGGTAGCTGGATAGCAGTGTGTTTTTGTTCAAGTCGCTCGGACTTAGCCCGCTGTTTCCGGAGTTTGGGTCAAGAGTCCGGCCATAATCAGAGAGTGTCGGGAGGCAACACAAGCAACATATGTCTACAAATCAAATATTTCTCGCGAAACCGTCTTCAGCCAGTCCGAATCAAGATCTCGTTCGGATCGAGGTCTCAATCTGCAATCGATTTCAAATCAGACTATACAACATGGCCCTCAGGCTGTACGAAGCGCCAGCTCCCAACCCGTTTGTGGTTCGACTTTTCGCCTTAGAGCGGGGGGGACTTGATATCGACGTTGAACAAATCGACATCATGACATTACAAAATCGCAGACTCTCTTATCGAACCAAAGTCAACCCTCGAGGTGAACTGCCGGCACTTCGCGTGGGGAACGAGGTCATCACCGAAATCACAGCAATCTGTGAACTACTTGACGAAGTCGCAACTGGAGGCGACTCTCTTTTTGGGAATGGGCCCATCGAGAGAGCCAAAACCCGAATGTGGCTGCGTCGCATGGATCTCGAGATTGCGCAGCCGATCATTACCTGGTTCCGAAACGACCCAGACACTATCGACTTCTACAAAGGAAACCGTTTGCCGACGCCCCAGGCTCGAGTGAACGAGAAAGTATCTATCAATCAGGCCCTGAATCGCCTGGACGACGAGCTTGAAGGAAAGAATTATCTAGCTGGCGACAGATTCTCCGCCGCCGATATACATCTCTATGGTCTCACAAAGATGATGATATCAGGTCCTGGGGCACCCGCTGGCTGGGTGTTGGCACCTGGAAGGACGAATTTCTTGGAGTACTTTGCTCGTATAGACGGACGTGCTGCTTCTCAGAAGGCACTGAATACCTTTGGGACTCCTATCAAACCTTGAGTACTGCAGTTTTGAGAGATTAAAGCTCATGGGTGCGTGGTGCCAATCAAGGATCTTAGGAGACTTCACTCATTTGGGCTTGTTAGTTCCTTTTCTTTGAGTCCGACTCCATCAGCGTGTGGGGCTACCTCATCGCACATCTTGTGTCCCATAGGTCTTCATCAAAGCCAGAGGCAAAGTAACTATTCCGGCAGTAGGGGCATAGCTGCCAACCACGCCATCAAGACTCAAGGGTGTACCACCTGATGTTATTCCTGACATTGGGAGATTTTAACACTAAATTCTGGGTCTAAGTGATATAAGAGAAGTATGGAACATGCCGTGATCTAAGTATTCCATTATGACCTCCGGTGTCAACTGTCATCTCGTCACAGCGTAACGGCCAGAGCTTTAGGTCTCAACGGGTATCACGACCCTCTAAAAGCCACGGACGGTTGATGGCAAACCAAGTTCGTAGACCTTTGCAAGGACTTCATGGTCGCTGAATACTTGTGCATTTAAGTAGCAGTAGGCCCTTTGGGCATCGACCACCAAGTTTGTGTGGTCGCCCAATTGTAATCGTTGCAAATTCATAACAACAGCTACTAGTGCAGCGGTGGAGCACGATGACGCAAGATGGAGAGAACTCTGGGGACCACAAAGAATGCTTCCTGAATGGTAGAGAACAACGGTGAGGTGGCATCGTTGATTTTCTCCTGAGCGGATACCTAAAGACGCCAAGATGTATTGCTGTATGAATATGATGCACATAGAAGGACATACGGATAATTCTGAGCTTCCCAGGCATTCCGTGGCCACAACAGCGGAGATGTGACTGCCACCAAAGCTTGGGCAGCTCTCGTACCTTTGGTAAGGTACTGACGCTTGTGCAGCCACCCGGATGGAGACCCTTGGGCCCTCCACGAGGCCCACAGCTCGGGAACACTCAGGCACCAAGCTTCATGATCACGAATCCTAGCTATGAGCGACCGACGATGCCTTATTAATTCAAGTCGGCAAGGGTGAGCAGCAGCAGACAGCAAGGGCATATTCCAAAGCAGATACAGAGTCAGTCCTCAGCACATCCATGGAGGAGGTCGATAGCCCACGTGATCTCGCGTTCCAATGGTGGAAAGAGTGGGGCCCGCGTGATGAGGTCACGACAGTAACCTGGCTGTTGTCCGTCCCGCCTTCCACCGTTTGCTTCCAGGCTACACATCACCTTCAAAACCGTAACCATGAGCGAGAAGGTATCTTACACACCACTCCGGCCCGCCGCCATGCGGTCAGGCCACTTGCGCCTGCAGGCAACCTCAATGGCTGTCACGGCTGGCGCCCTCACCTTCTGGGTGCTCTACATGATCGGCCTCGATGGCCTTCCCGAGTCACTCCGATCGCCCAGTGCCCCGAATGACTCGATGGCGAAGGACGACGTTTGTCTCACGCCGGCGTGCGTTCATGCTGCTTCCGAAATCCTTTATAATTTGTCGCCTGATTACAAGAATCTCGATCCTTGCTCTGACTTTGAGGAGCTTGTCTGCGGTGGCTGGCGCGATCGGCACGACCTGCGGTCTGACCAAGGCGATGCCTTTACAGGCACCATCATGGCGGAGAACTCGCAGCTGCTTCTTCGTCACATCCTGGAGGCGCCCTACCCCAAGTCTGCTGCAGTACGTTGACTGTCCTACTCAGCACAGCTACTTACTAACCCTCGTAGTCTGACTCGGCCGACGAAGGGAACTTTCAAAAGATGAAATCCGCCTACGACGCCTGTCTAGATGAAGATTCCATCAAGTCTTTGGGTATCGAGCCATTGAAACATACTATCGACGAGCTTGGCAAGATATTTCCGCTTGACTCTGGCAAACCGCTCAAGAATGCCATTTCTTTCCTCCACAAGTATGGCATAACACCGCTCATCTCCGCAGGCACAGGCGCCGATGACCGCGATCCTGACACGGTGGTTATCTCGATATCTCCGCCCTGGACCTTTGGCCTCCCTTCAAAGGAGCGGTACGAAGACGAGAAGCTGGTCGAGAAGTATCGCAACGTAACCGTGGAGGTCCTCGAGCTTCTTTATCCGCATGCCGACAAAGCATGGTTCCCAAAAGTCACCGACCTGGAAAAGAAACTTGCTGCTGCCTCTCCCAGTACCGAAGAACGAGAGGATGTTACAGTTGGTTCTTGCTCGTCCTAGGTATATCCGGTGACTAACTTGTAGTAGAAAACCTATAATCCACTGAAACTTGAAGATGCCGCGGCTCTCGCCCCCTCGGCCGACCTCATCGGTCTCGTCCATGACCTTGCTCCGGCGGACTTTACTGCTGATCGGGTTATTGTCACATCGCCGGCGTATTTGAAGTCGCTGTCGGCCATCTTGTCTGAGACGCCTACCACTGTTCTGTTCAACTACTTCGTTTGGAAAACGGTACAATCGCTTGCCTTTTCTGTTGAGGCTGATGAAGTGAAGCCATACAAGCGGTTTGTGAATGAACTGTCCGGAAAAGTAAGCGCTCAATGCATAATTTTCACCCAATGCTGACCACTCTAGGACCCCGAATCGGCCCCTGAGCGTTGGCGACGATGCGTCGGACACGTTGATGGTAGTCTCGGTTGGCTTCTCAGCAGGTTCTTTGTTGAAAAGGCATTTTCGGCTGATGCAAAGGACTTTGGCGACACGATTATCAAAGATATTAAGAGCGAGTTCACCAACAAACTCAAGGCTACCGAGTGGATGGACGACGAGACGACGGAGAAGGCGATCAACAAGGTGCACAATATTATCCAGAAAATTGGCTACCCGACGAGCAGTCCGGACATTACCAACGCTACCGAGCTTCACGACTACTACAACAGCGTCAACGTGTCGGCGTCCGACTTCTTCGGCAACGGACTTTCCGTCCGCGCGTTTGATACAGCACGAGAGTGGGCCGCCCTCGGCAAGCCTGTTGATCGCAACGAGTGGGGCATGTCAGTGCCGACGGTCAACGCTTACTACAATCCGCCTGGCAATGAGATCGTATTCCCCGCTGGTATCATGCAGTTTCCTGTTTTCGACGTTGAGGCACCGGCATACATGTCGTATGGCGCCTTCGGCTCTGTGGCCGGGCACGAATTGAGCCATGCGTTCGACTCGACAGGCCGCCACTACGACGAGAACGGCAATTTCACCGACTGGTGGACGGAGGACACGGTCAAGGCATTCAAGAAGCGCACTGAATGCTTTGTGAGTCAGTATGCTAACTACACGATTGAAGGCCCCAACGGGAAACCCCTTCATGTTAATGGGCGGCTGACGCTGGGTGAGAATATCGCGGATGCTGGCGGTCTGTCGGCAAGCTTCCAGGCCTGGCAGCGACGAGCCAAGGAGACGCCTAACAAGAACCTACCGGGCCTCGAATACTTCACGCATGAACAGCTTTTCTTCGTGACTTACTCCAACTGGTGGTGCGGCAAATCGAGGAAAGACACTGCTGTCAACCGCATCTACACGGACCCGCACGCGCCTAAATGGGCGCGAATTCTCGGAACCATGGCCAACAGCAAAGAGTTCCGCGAGAGTTTCCAATGCAAAGTCAAGGAACCGACGTGCAAGTTGTGGTAGAGCGTCAGAAAAATCGTTTAGTAGAACCTTGGAATGCAATATTGAATACACTAGTTGATCCGCTTTGCGCCATCCTTGCGGACCTCCGCCTCGAGTTTGTGCAGGTGAAAGCGCCTATAAGTGATTTCATCCAGCAGGGTCTCACCAAACAGCCACCTGGCCAGCCAGACCTGAGTAGACAAGCCACCAGCCCAGAACCACTTACGCGCACCGCCGAGCAGTCCGCCGAACCACCCCTCACCCCGGAGGGCCTCAGATACCAGCTGTGTAGCAAAAGTCGCGTTGTTCATGGTGGCGTTATGCTGCGACCACTGCTGGCGAGCAGCGAAGAAATCCTTCATACGCATGTACAGCGAGCCGGCAGGCAGCTCGCGATGGGCCTTTGGATTGGATGTGCTGACGGTGCCCGTCATGGACACAAGTACACGAACACCAAAGGGTCGCAGCTCCTGCCGTAGAGTGCGGCTATACGAATTGATGGCACCCTTTGTGGAGCTGTAAACGGATGCGAAGACGTAGGGCGAAACAGACGACAGCGAACTAATGTTGACGATGAGGCCGCGCGTGGCAATGAGAAGGGGCACAAAGGCCTGAACCATTGCCATCACACTGAAGACATTGGTCTCAAAGGTGGCGCGAACCTCGTCCAAGTCGATATCCGTCGCTGGGATCGTGTGGCTCACGCCGCTGCTGTACTCAGTAAGTGCTTTACGTTATGGATGGGCAGCCCTACGCGTTATTGACAAGGATGTCCAGGCGACCGCCAGTCAGTTCAGTGACTTGACGCTTACACTCCGCGATGCTCTCTGCATTGGTCACGTCAAGAGCAACGGCAGAGACGCCAATATCAGAGAGCTCCTTCAAAACCTCAGGCCGGCGCCCAGTGGCGATCACATGGAGTCCGCGGGTATGGAACTCTTTGACCAAGGCATGGCCAATTCCACCGGGTGTACAGCTACTGTCGTTAGTCAAATTTGGAGAGGGACTAAGAATGAACCGCGAATTCACCCAGTAATCAGAACCGTGCGACGACCCTGTGAGATGTTGGCGGCCATTGTGAGATACTAGCAACTGATGCGATATCGAGATGTAAGAGAGACAGTGATGCGGTTTGCTGTTCTTCTCAACGCCGTGCCAACACACAGTGAGTTGCTTGGCAGAGATCCCGAGGCACAGGCAGGTGGCACAGACCAGTTTTCACGTGATGCCCTTGTCAGGTTGCAGGCCATAAGGCCGGGGCTACGACTTCATCTGCAACACCAGAACAAATTCTGGAGCAGGTGCAATGTTGCAAGTACCATTTGAGCTAGTGTACAAGCTAGTAAGATGTTCCATGCGCGGAGTCCGCGGACTTGGAATTGGATCGCAACGATTTGAGCAAGTCTAGATAGTGGCATCAGAGAAGTGGGACCACTTGTCGATAGCCCACATAAGCTGTCACGATCACGTGACACAACAGCTCACCGCCAAGGCAGAAAAAGTTTCTAGCTGATCTCTGCCATGGCCATATCGTCGAGCACATCACAGCCTCATTTACACCATATCGTCAACGCTCGACTCTCAAAAGACCGTCAAAATGCATCTCATGGTTCGTAGTACACATTGACTCGAATGTCTTTGGAATTACTGACAATCTACCCAAGTATACCCTCGATGAGGCGGGCAACCGCCTGTACACTCTCAAGAAGGTCACCGACGATGCCAAGGTCACCAAGAGCGCTCACCCTGCCCGTTTTCTCTCCTGACGGTATGTGCAGCCTTCTCTAGACCAAAAGACGATTTATCTGACGACATGTAGACAAATGGAGTTCGTCAGCGTGTGACGCTTTAGCGTCGTTTTCGGTCTCTCTGTTGACACAGCAGAGTAAGTAGATTGTGGTGCCGGGATTTTACAAAGCTTTCTGCATGCTACGCTTCAACGCAGAGGACAAGGAGCACGCTTGTCTTAGCTATCATAGATACGATGACGTTCATCCTCGAGACCGACATGCGGATTGGATTGAACAGAATTACTTGGGCCACAGTTCTGGGGACTCCCTTTGTCTCGTTGAGGCACGGCGTTGAAGGTTGTGTTACAAAATGGGGCGGCGTTCAGTGTCTTTCAAATACAAATGCATTGTCCCACGCGACGACGTGAGAAGATCGCTTTTTATTCTCGTCTACCTGGTATCATCCTTCTGGAAGTTGCGCGCTCCAACGTCTAGCTCCTGGCGCGCTTCGAGTTGACGCTACGACCAGGACCCAACCTTAGCTTGCCATTGCTGCCAGTTCTCTCGCCGGTGATTATGTTGGGCATATAGTCTTCGTCCATCAAGTCCTTCTTTCGCTCGCGACGCTTCTCCTCCACTGCCCTCTCGTACTCTTTCTGATCCTCCGCAAACAGAAGCTTCGTACCCCAGTTGTTCTTGCCGCCAGCGCTCTTGGACGGCAGCTTACCGCTGGCCGTGCCTGCGACAGCCTTGGGTATGCTGAAGACATTGCCACGGTTGTTCCACTGGAAGTTGCGTTTCAAGTGGATCTGGAACGAGCCATCATCGGCCGTGGTACACGAAGTCCTCGTCAGCGTTGCCTGTCCGCACTTGGGGCAGAACTGGCGATCCATCTTCTTGCAAATCTGGAAGCAGCCGTGGCAGCGAAGCACCCAGTTTTTTACCTGTGTGATGCGTGACATTGCTGGGGAGAGGAGGTTGAGGCCGATGCGCAGAGCAACATTTTGCATGGCGTAATCGGATGTCAGCATGGCCACTTTGAGAGAGACAGCGGCAGTTGTCGGCAGGACTTCATTGGTGTCCTTTGCCTGGTGCTTCTTCAGATTTGAAGGTGTGATCCATCCGTCGTCCGAGTCAGCTCCATCGTCCTCTGCTGGTGCGCTCTCTGGCGTGAGCTTAGCCTCGATATTGTCTTGCACTTCCAGTTTCTCCATTTTTCTGCTGACTCCAGCTGTGAGATCGGCCTTGGCTGGTATCTCGACCCAAGTGCCAGCCTTCTCGTTATAATCTTCGGTGTGCGCTGCAAGAGGTTGCTCTTTCGCAGTAGGCCCGAGCTCGGTTACCGTCTCCGCAGGCGAGACCTTTGTCGAAAACAAGCTGGCTCTGTGCTGCTGCTGCCGCTGCCGCCTCAACTTTGCTGTCCTCCGCTATATCGACGCTATCATTTTCTGGGCCGCCGTCGTTTCCATGCGGCTTACCGCTGATACCCTTCTGATTCGGGTCCTTCCGCAGCCTCCAGTCGCCGTTATTCTGTTCCATTTCAAGTTCATATGTGAGCGCTAGTAGTTGAATGTCGGGCCTGCTCATGACTTCAAGGTCGCCAGTCCGACGCGCGAAATTGGTAATGAATTTGACGCTCGCGGGGCGGGGATTCCGTAACTTGACAAAGGGAAGTAGCGTTGTCTCAACTCGGGTGCGCGTAGCGGCATCGCGAATTTCGTCAATAATCGACGGCAGTGTGAAGAGTTCGTCCGCCTGGGCGATGAGCGTGCTGACCGGGGGGTCGTTCTTGATCAACGGGCCTGTGTCGAGGCAGATGCTGTGTATAGGTTTCCTCTGTTCGGTCGTAGGTTTCTCAGAGAGGACAGTAGACTGCGGGTCAGCCGCCGAAGGTTGGGCGTCGACCGACATGACGACAAGCGGGAGCCTGAATAGGCCGGAGTATTATGCGGCCGAGGCGTTGTCAAATACGATCCAAACCAGTAAGCTTATGTGGCGATTTGCGGTATATGGTGAAGGCAACCTCAGCGTTGTGTTGAAGTTGTTTTCGGGGTGACTGGAAATTTCTTTATCGCGGGGTGTGGTGGTGGGTGGCGGGGTATGAACCAGAATGCGATAAGAAAAGAAAAGTGGATACAGCACCATGATGGACGACAAACCCGTATTTAGTGGTAACACATAAGCAAGGTCTAGCATGTTAGTAGTGAAATGAACTCGTGTAATTCGTTTATCATTAAGTGTTGTCCGATTCGGTATATACATTTTGCCGTATCCAGGCGGCATCATATCTCCAGTTGATATCTCATGCGCCCTGAGGCTATACACGACCGTACTAGGGATAAACCTATCGTTTGCTGGTTGGTGGTTATCGTAACATGTAAGACAAATCTGGCAAATTTCGGACGAAGTGCTCGATAGTCAGCTCGTTGCTGAGGTCTTCGCTCTTCGATGAAGATCCAGGAGCTAGAACTTCTTCGATTGTGCGAGGGGTCTGCTGCATCATTGTTGGCAGAATGGGTGTCTGGGGGGTAACTGCTTGGGTATTCGTTGCTTCGTTGTCCACCCATTTGTCAAAGCTCCAGTCGTCTACCTTTGAGACTGGTGCAGCCTGAGCATGTATCTCCGAGCCAGCAACTTTGGGGTAGTTGCCGACTGGTAATGTCACCATCTCACCCCATTCGTCGTCCTCGTCTTCCTGTGTATCTGCCAGAGGTAGGTTCGTTCGTATGGTGAGGCCCTCCGGAACAGGCGATGCTTTACGCTCGCTCGACTTTTGATTAGGAGAAGACTCGTGGTCTCTGAAACCACGGTCATCTGAAGATGCACGATTCATCGGTGAGATTTCGCGTGTGCCATCTTGCAACTCATCGCGGCCAGTGGTCCAGCCAAGGACAGCCTGATCATGCCAGATGTTCGAACTGACAGCCGGCGGTGGCAGACTCACGGGTCGTGACTCGTTAACAGGAATGGCTGGACCAGGTGTCTGTCCAATCATGGATGAGCGTTGAGCGGTGGCCAGGATATCATTGTTCTTGAGATGCCTTCGGCTGAAGAAGTTCTCGAGATCAACCTGTGTACCGGCCTTGTCCCATCCAAAGCCATGACCACCTATACCTTTCGCCACGCCCGTTCGAAAAGGCCTTTGACCTATCGAGTCTTCCTCCATCCAGCGGCGGACCGTCTTCAAGACATCCGACCGTACGGTCGATGAGACCCACGTGATACGAGCGTAGTTGTCATCATTTCCTGTATCATATCTTCTGAGTGACTCGTAACGCGAGAGACGATACCACATTCTCCGTTCAGAGACACTCTCAAAGCTGTCAACAATGACTTTGTCAGGTATTTCAACATCCGTGCCTGTTACATTGTTTGCAGAGAATGCAAATAGTGACTCAACCTGCTTGAGGTCGACCTCGAAGGGTTCATAGTCTGCGACTTTGGTCGAAAGATTTTCCGAATGGTCGTTTCCATGTATGGGATCGTCCGCGTGATTTTTGGGTACTTGGTTATCCACCTGGAGTTCGTTTGGCATAACATGAGCTTCAACAGAGTCGCAATTCAATGCGGTTTGATCCTGTCCAGTGGCAATCCTTGCATCGATTCGGTTCGGTAAAGATGACGTGGAATGCCCTTCGCCAACAGCTCCTTCGCGGCTTTCGAGGTCGGTGGCATTTACGTCAGCTGGTTGCGAGAGCTGAATGGCTATCGGCGATCGACTTGTGCTTCGCTGTGGTGGAGGTACCAGCTCAGGAAGGATGCTGCTCTTCCTTGCGATACCGTCGTACATCTCCACCAGTTGGTGCACCTTAGAGGCTCCACGTTCACCAGTGACACCTGGCTCGTCTTCTTCGACGGGGGTGATGGGAGAGTCCTCGCGTGTCGAGTCGTGAGGTCCGTCGCCATCGGATGTTGATGCCGTGGCCGAACCAGCTAGCTCGATGTGTGCAACGTGTGAGTATTGTGGTGTAGGACGATCATCGGTGTGGTCTCCCGAGGAAGAATTATGGCGTATGGAAATAGCAATAGCCGGACGAGGCGATTGTATTGTAGTCGAAACCTCCAAAGCGTGCGGTGGAGTCTCGTGTGGACTCGGCTCAAGGCCTGTCGGCAGTGCTGGGAGGCGTTGGATTTCAGTGAGTGGTCCGGCAACCTCATGGCGTATGTCGTTTGGTGAATACTCGGAGGACCATGGATCGTGGGTCAGGTGATCGGAGGACAGCTTCTTGGAGAAGGCTCTACTCCGCTGTCCTGGTGATGTGGACCGACTACTAGGCCACCTGGGTATACTCTGTTTTCGCTTCGCCTCGTATTTAGGTGTCAACTGGCCTGCGTCGCTAAGGGTCGCGTCGCCTAGAGCCAATGTTCCCCAGGTTGTGGATGCAGGCTGCGCAGATTCAGGGGTGGCCCAATCGCCATAGGAGTCGTCGTCCAGCCAGGCGGACTGGCTGGATGGTAAAGTTAGGTTGTTCGGTGTTGTCGTGAAGAACGCGGGTGGTGGTGGCTCAGGATTTGCCTCGGCCGGTGCGTATTGGCTGTTCAATTCGGTATCGGGAGTTGCCCACGGTGAGCCCCATGGATCTTCCATCGTGACGGCTGAGTAGGCATGTTTGTGGTCGCGACAGCCAACGGTGGGGATTGCGCTGTCAAAGGCCGGACGTCGTTACGCGGACATGGCCGCGAGCTCTGGCAACGAGTGAACCAGTGATGCTAGTTCAGACTTCAGAATCGTCGAATCAAATGTTTTTGTAAATTATGGGTGTACGGGTATGTCTCCAAACTTGATCATAAGGAGATTTCGGGAGACACGGATACTTGGATTATCCTGATTCACTGCTGCCTGGTTGAAAGGCACCTTGCACATCAAGGGCAAGGCTTTGGAAATCTGTCTCAAGGTCTCAGCCTCTGCGATGGTCCAGATCTCGCTTACCTAATGAAGCTGATCAAAGACGCCAGCCTCTTATCGATTGTCAACGTTACAGAGCAGGAAGTGGCAACTCACAATAACCCCTTGTCGTGGTTTTCAACTAAAATGTCGAAGATGCTGGTCCTTTTGCGATCGGGGAAGATAGTAAATGCTCACGTTCTTACTCTCTAGTCACTCGATGATTGATTCGCCTCGAGAGGCAACTTGCTGACCAAGCATCTGAGCCGACCATCGGCCCCCCACCTCATCAAGTCCAATCCTCAGCAAGATCAAAGCAGAAAAGGAACTCACAATTGCGTACCAAACTACTTGTTCGCCATACCATCAAGATGTCACTTTCAAAGGTCAAACACATCGTTCTGGTATGTTTTTAGAACGTCACAACATAGCATCTCTGTTGACTCCAATAGGTTTTGTCCGGCAAGGGTGGCGTGGGCAAGTCGTCCGTGACTACTCAGCTGGCTCTGTCTCTGACTCTTGCGGGGCATTCTGTTGGTGTTCTTGACGTCGACTTGACGGGGCCATCGATTCCACGAATGCTCTCCATCGAAAATGCCAAAGTGACACAGGCCCCAGGCGGCTGGGTGCCTGTACCTGTTCATGAGTCGAGCCCTGAGCAGGGTATTGGGTCTTTCCGAGCAATGAGCCTGGGATTTCTTCTTCCGCGACGTGGAGATGCCGTGGTATGGCGAGGCCCCAAAAAGACCGCCATGGTCCGGCAGTTCCTTTCCGATGTTCTCTGGGATGAGACTGATTACTTGCTCATCGACACCCCGCCCGGAACAAGTGATGAACACATCTCGCTGGCAGAAACCCTCCTGCGGGACGCTTTTCCAGGACAGGTTGCTGGCGCTGTTGTTGTGACGACCCCGCAAGCTGTGGCAACGGCAGACGTTCGTAAAGAACTCAACTTTTGCGCAAAAACCAACCTCAAGGTCCTCGGCGTCATCGAGAACATGAGCGGCTTTGTTTGCCCGCACTGCGCCGAGTGCACCGACATTTTCAGCTCTGGTGGCGGCGTCATCATGGCCGACGAGTTTTCCGTACCGTTCCTCGGCACCGTACCCATTGATCCCCAGTTTGGCGAACTTGTGGAGACGGGCAAGAGACCACTGTACCACCAGGGCACCAAGATTGATGGTCGTGATATCAGTGCAACAGCGGAAGTACAGATTCCAGACGGCGACACATTGGTGGAAAAGTATCGAGCCTGCTCGCTGGCACACATTTTCGCAGGCATTGCCGAGAAGCTTACCACTACCATTGCCACAGCAGGGCAGCCTTGAGTGATCAGCTTATGCGATGACGAGACCCCTTGGCAAATTTGCACATCAAAAACATCAAACTCAGCTTCACAGGGCATTAGAAGAGAAGGCTGCGAATGCCGAAGCCAAGCCGCGGCACAGGACAGGCTTGGCACGCTGGAGAATTGCCCCAGCGCATCATTGACAGCGATGCGAGGGCTGATCATACGCATCACCAGAAGTGCTTCACCCTAAATGCACAAGTCGAAGGAAATGAGGATGCAAACTAGGACAGTGGTTGGTCTAGGGATCTAAAGGCCCCAAAGCGCTCAAAGCGCATGCATTGGCCATGCAAACCTGTCACAACGAACGAAGACCATCACTTTCTCGTTGCCTCAAATCAGTGATCGACACTCCCAAATGGACTGGCTGATGACGTCTGAACCCCACCTGGCTGTCACCCCACCATTTAAAAATCGGATAGTGGCATCAGAGAAAACAAAGGGCCAGCCGCCAGGGCGAGTGAGCCAGTGCGCTTAGGGGACCTGTTTTGGTGGACAATGCCACTAGGATGCTGCCAGGAGACTCTTCTTCAGCGGCTTCAGCGGTCGCTGCGGGCTGTCCCAGAGCATACACCCGGGCACTTATTTCTGCTGGACGCCAGACCCCGCCGCCCGCCCTGGAGATGCCTAACATCCGACCACAATTTTTCCAACCCAACCTTCAATCGATCGAACGAAAATCTCTCACCGACACTCTTGCACACGAGCGGTTACCTTTTTCACGAGAAGTTCTTGGTCTTCCATTTCAATCTACGTGTCGACTCTCTGTGGAGAGCTTGACACCTTGGCGTCTTCGCATCTCGCCCACTTTGCAAAACCCCGCCTCGACGTCGCCGGGAGCCGCAACACCACAAAACTTTGCGCGTGCTTGACGATCGCAAAACATCACGAGATAAGTTGCAGCTTCAACATTCCATGAACTCCAGCAAGATCCTGCGCTTCCTCTCCAAGCCTTCCAAGTATGCTCACCTCTGGCTTGCCGCACCATGCTGCCGCTGACCTCAACATAGGCCTCGATAACAGCACCCAGCCGAATACCGATCATCTTCTCCTCGAGCTCCCCCAACAGGCTTCCATCCTTAACCTTACACTCCAGACCCCTCGTCTGCTGGGTCCGATACTCCACCAGTATCGGTGTCTGTCAGATCGAGGCCTGCTCCCGGCGTCAACATTCCGCTGCCCAGGATCCTCCTGCTCCCGCTCCAGACTCGACCCCCCTAACGTCCCTCGAGAGACGTTGACGCTTTTACACTACTCATTGTAGCTGGCGCCGCCAGCCTCACCGACTACTCGCCTTCCTGTGGGCCTACTCTCTCAAACGGGCTTGTTTGAGCGGCAGCTAGTGCTCCACGGACTTTGCGACGATTGAAAAAGCAAATCCAGCCTGTGAAGATGACGTCGGTTCCTACCAACTATACCTTCTCGCCATCCGAAGGCACTCCTCACCTGACCATCAATCATGATGTTGCGGCCGAGCTAGACTCTAGCAATGCTTTTGAGGGTACGACATTGTTTCCTTTACTTGTCACTAATTGATGGTTCCTAACTGTTTCACGCGCAGGCCCTGAAAACTACTTGAGGTGTGGTTTGCGCCCAGTCCGACCTCGCTACCCCCAAGCGCTCAGCCTAACGGTCTCAAGGCCGTCTCAGCCGACGAATGGGTAGGCATGCTTGATATGGTCAACTGCAAAATTCTGTCTGTCCTCGAGTCCGAGACGGTCGACGCCTACTTGCTATCCGAGTCTAGCTTGTTTGTCTTCCCCCACAAGCTGATTCTCAAGACGTGCGGGACCACGACTCTGCTCCTCGGGCTTCAGCGCCTCCTGCACATTGCCGCGCAACATGCTGGATTCCCTTTCGCCAATGCCTCACTCGCTACCGACATCAAGGCCGCGGCCACGCCCTACCGCGTCTTCTACAGCCGCAAGAACTTCCTCTTCCCCGACAAACAGCAAGGTCCGCACCGCAGCTGGAAGCAAGAGGTGAAGTATCTTGATGACATGTTCGAGGGGGGCAGTGCCTATATGGTAGGCAAGATGAACGGCGATCATTGGTACCTTTACATCACTTCGCCGAATGAATCGATCACACCTCCCCGCACCCCTGAGGAAAACGATGGTCATGGCCACATTGCCAGGATTCCTGCTAGCATCCTACGAGGCGCCGACGAGCCCAGCGATGAGACGCTCGAGATCCTCATGACCGACCTCGATGAAGAGAACGCGAAGCAATTTTACCTTGAAAACGCAAGCGCTCTGGCAAGCGAGCAGCTTGCAGCTCGGGCGCAAAAGGCCCGTAATGAGGCGCGCCAAAGTCTTGGGGACCTCACTAACGGCCAGCAGATTGAAGAAGATGTCGACGTTTTTAGCAACGGAAGTGATGCTGAGGCGCCTGAGCAGGTGCTTACTGAGGCCTTGACCACCGAGGGTCATGCTCTTGGCACCGTCGTCTCCGAAGCCTGCGGCCTCTCTAATGTCTATCCGACCAGCAGGTATCCGGACGCACGCGTCGATGCGTACTTGTTCAGTCCGTGTGGCTTCTCGGCAAACGGTGTCGTGCCGGCGGCTCCTCAGGGCAATGCCGAGGACGGGAAGAGCAGCTCGATTCATTACTTCACCGTGCACGTCACGCCGGAGCCCAACTGCTCCTTCGCGTCTTTCGAGACCAATGTTCCTGGTGGCCAGTCAGGTCGCACGACGTCAGAAATTATCGAACATGTCGTCGACATCTTTAAGCCTGGTCGCTTCAGTGTGACGCTGTTCGAGGCTAAGGGGCGTGCTGCCGACCCAAACGTTGCGAACGAAGGCAAACTTCCTTCAACGTCATCCCAGCGCCTACTAGCCCCTGTCCCAGGCTATCGACGGCTCGACCGCATTGTTCATGACTTTGAGGACTACGATCTTGTATTCCGCTTTTACGAAAAGGAAGGCTGGGCTGGGGGTCGCGGCGCGCGTGTGGGTGAAGCTTTGTAATGACCTGAATCGGTGTGTGTAGTGTACCTGACGTGCCTAAGGAAGTACACATTTGCGAGCGGGGCATTATATCAGTGTGAGCCACTAAAATCTACTTCGGCTAGAATACTTTCAATACTTTGACACCACTCTCCTCTCCGTATCGCACACAGACGCGTGAACAACCGTGCTCTATGTGCTTTGTATGTTTGATCGCATGCATATTAGGGGGGGGGGAGACAGACCGCCGAGGCGAATTCGAGGCAGGCTCTTCTCAAACCACGCGCCCTGCCTAGTTCCATGATGCTGCGTCTCATTTTATTGAGAGTTCCAGCACCCCCCACATAGGATATCTGACCAAATTGGCCATCGTGTCAAGGATCGCGCGCGTAAACAAGGTTGCATATGTCGTACCGTCCCGTCCTATGGGCTTAGTTCGAGTATGATCCCGATAAGATACCTACATGGTACTTGAAGATCGTCATCCAGACGGAGAGCTTCGGTCCCTGCATCCTGTCTTGGAACGCGTTGAGGGGGGGTATATTTAGCTGACTAACAGAGATCTCGCTCCCAAAACCCGGAACGGATAATTCTTTAATGGCGATTTCCAAAAGATCATCCACTATTGGTCGTCCTGGGGGAAACCTTGCCCCGCCCTGCCTCCGGATTTCGTCCATCAACTGCAATACGCGCAATGTCTCTGACCACGGCATGATTGCGCTCTCTGTCCTGCCAGTCGCAATATCGAGCGCGACGGCGTCAGCCTCCCAGTAGAATCCCATGCCAGGCCTCTCAAAGTCGTACTTTTTCTCCTCGCCATTCAATTTCTTGACGGTGAAAGAACCTGGCACCGATGCGGCCACACCCTCGACAACGACGGTGCCTTCGCTACCCTCCACTCTGCAGAAGTCCGGGGCACTCTTGACCGAGGTGTTCGAAGTAACAATACTCTGGCGGCCATCTGCGTAGAGGAAAATGGCCGACGTGGCGACGTCGATGCCATCGGAGAGAGTTTGGGCGGCCAGAACCTTGGGCGTTTCCGGCGCCTCCTTTAGGCCCTCGGCACCACCCAGCGGTGGCTCAGAGCCTACAATGCCCCACGTTAGGCTATAGATGCCAATGTCCAACAGGCTGCCAGCCCCGAGGGCAGGGTTCTTGAGGCGCGATTCAGGCCCGAGTGAGGCAATCTTTTGGTCCATGGAAAAGTCGCAAAATGTCCGGTGGATCTTGCCGATAGCTTTCTCCTCATGAAGCACTTTCTGCAGCGATCGAACGAGCGGGTAAAAGCGCGTCCACATGGCTTCCATGACGAAGACGCCCTTGGCCTTGGCGGCAGCAAAGACTTCTAGCGCCTCAGCGGTCGTCAACGTGAAGGCCTTCTCACAGAGAACATGCTTTCCATGGCGAATGGCATCAAGGGCATTCTGCTTGTGAAAGGCATGGGGTGTGCCAATGTAAATGATGTCTACGTTAGAGTCGGCATAAACCTGCTCATAGCTGCCGTAAACGGTGGGCGAGTGGCCAGGGAGGTGCTCGGCGACGAAATTCTTTCCTTTGACCTCAGAGGACGACCCGATGGCCTGAACAATATGGTTGGCACGGGCGTCTGAGCGCTCAAGAACTAGGTCCTTGACGAACCATGACGAGATGAGGCCGGTTGCAATGATGCCCCAGCGAAGATTCGGCTTCGTATCGGCCATGTTGTAGGTGTTGTAATGGATGATGGAAGCGATGTCTGGGAGAATAATGATAATGCAAGCTTTACACGCTTCACGCATCGGGTCTCGCCGCTCTTATATACTTCTCAGATCATCGATCAGCCGAATGCCGCTCCGCCATTTCGTTCGTGAGGCAATGCGATCTTTGTTCGGTCTGGAGAAATTGAGGGGCCGATCGAGGGGAAATACCAGTCTGCCCCGACACTCCCCGGTGTTAGTGGTCGTCAGGACGGGTGCTAGTGCACACTGCACCCCACTCACTTTCTCCGAAGCATGGCCACGAGGGACTTGAGGGGTAAGGCGAGCCAGAATATGTGCAAAACCAATGTCACATGAGTAGCCACAAATCAGATAGGCCATACATGACTTTCATGCGCCCCTTGTCAGAGTATGCGTGCCCGATGCTTAAATAACCAGGGCTGCCAAAAAGGCACGACAGATTGTGTCTGCCCCACAAGGCCACAAGCCAGCGTAGCGGTTGAGAGTACCACGGATCTGTAACCCTCCCCCCAAAAACGTGCTTCATGTGAGTTGTTCGGCCAGGATGCTCTGGTTTGCCGCGTTCCCGCAGCCTCGCCTATTAAACTAGTTTTGCTCGACTTAGTTCCGAATTAGACTGAACTAGTGGTTCACTTCATATAAGGCGGGGTGCGCTTTGATCCCACTGACGAGGTATGTTCTGTAGCGAGTGTCCGGCCCTCAAAAAATGCGTCACCCCGCGATTTCAAGACATGAATCAGACCGAAAGATGAAATGGCGTTCCGCACACTTGAAGTGAATGATGTTGAGAAATTTTGCAAATCATAGTACAGTCTTGTTGTAAATTATATCGATACTCCAAGATAACCAAATTGCCAGTTTAACGGCCCTGCCCTACCACCTCGACCTGCTTGATGTGGTCGTCGCTGTTGGACTTTCTATCCATGTGTCCATGCTCTACATCGTGAAGCTTGTCCTGGCTGGACGACGTGCCTTCGAAAAGCTCGCGAATCTCCTCCAGCGTGTGCCCCTTGGTTTCGGGGAATAGGAACCAGATGGCGGCGAGTAGAACTGCCAGAATGCAGCAGAAGACAATATAGTACCGCCAGCCGATCGCTTTCATGGCAATGGGATTGACCTGGTTGCCGACGATAAGACCGGTAAAGGTTGACACATACATGACCGATAGACCACGTGAACGCAGTGTGTAGGGAAAAATTTCGACAGTATAAGCAGCCAGAAGTGGTGACCAGGCCATGGCGTAGAAGAAAAACGTGATGAAGATGAAGGCGACAGCAGCCCTTCCCGCCTCAGCGCTTTGTGAGCTAATGAAGTATGATGACAGTCCGGTCCAGATGATGTATGAAACGAGCATACCACCAGTAGACACAAGGAACAATGTACGACGACCGACGCGGTCCACCATCATGGCGCCCACGAAGACGGCTGACAGCCAGTTGGAAATGTTTAGGAGACCGTTGATGAGCGTCTGAGTCTTGCTGTCTGTGATTCCAATGGTGTTCAGAACGAGGGCGAGGTAGTACGAGAGAATGTTGACACCGTTCCACTGGGCAAACCAGCCGACAATCGCAGCGATGAGGGTCCTCTTGCGGTTTGCGGGCGTACGAATGAGCTCCATCCAAGAGTTTTGAGACATGACGTCTGCTTCTTGTGTTACGACAGCCTCGATCTCCTGCATCTCAAAGTTAACCAGCGGTGAATTCAAATCGCCGCCGGCGTGGAAGTCGGTAAGTATTTTTCGAGCCTCTTGTGTTCGACCGCGGGCAATGAGCCACCGGGGCGACTCGGGGAGAAACCAGATGCCGAGCAGTTGAATGGCGGGAAGAGCGCCTTGTAGCAGAGATGGCAGTCGCCAGCTCCACGTCGAGTCGATTCGAAGCGTGCCATAGGTGCACCATGCCGCGATGATACCGCCCAGGTACTGTCCTTTGTCAGCCGCATGACCATTGCCTCTAAGGTGTAAAAGGGAAGCTCACGAAGGATGTTTGATACAGTGCCGTTAACTTTCCTCGGTGGGTCGGATAGGCGAGCTCGGCAATGAGGATTGGGCTAGGTTGGGCAAGGAAGCTGGTGAAGAAACCGAGCACGGCACGAGCGATGATGAAGGTGTGCATGTTCTGCGACACTGCCTGCATGACTGCAAATGCGATGCACGTCAAGAGCCCAATGACGATTGGGGGCTTCCTACCAAATCGATCGCATATCCACGTAACGAGAAACAGAGCGACGACCTTGCCAGCAGGATAGACCGAGTTCATGGCTCCGAGAGTGGCACCCTCGGGGTTGCCAAAGTATCTACGCCATTGTGGCAGTGATTGGAGGCCGTTCATCATAGATCCGTCGTATCCGATCGAGGCAGACGAGATGAGTGGGATCATGATGAGAAGATTGAGTTTGATGAGATGCGGCGTGCGGTACCATGGCTTCGCGTCGACGGGAAGGACCTATGACGTGTGAGCCCGATTGTCAGATCATTCAACCGACTGATTCCATACAGACGCGAGGCCACTTCCTGCGACCTCTGTAGCCTCTGGTGCCTCCTTCTGGGCAAGATCCATGACGATTGATGTGCAGTGTGTGAGGCAGGAGAGAAAGATGAAGGATGATCGTCAGCCTGTCGCAGGTGATGCTCCAGCAAGAGATCGGAACCACGCGACAGACACGCGACAGAGAGCGAGGTCTCGACTCTTATGAAGACGTTAAAGACGATCGCTAGTTGCATGACCCAACGATATAGTGCGCTGGCGTACCCCAGCTTCGAGTTACATGGAACCCCACGGGGCAGAGGTCAGTAATGGTCTCGGGTGAAAGTATGGAGAAAACGTTGGAAAAGTGGGAAGCTAGTGGTGTTTTGGGGCCCGAGTCATGCACTCAGGGGTCTCTGACAGCATCCACGCAGACCTGGGGATAATCGGTAGGCCCTCTGACTGGCGGTACGCCGTCATCGTCTCCGAATTGATGTTCCGGGGCTCGGAACAACGCTAATGAGAACCAATAACATAATGGACCGACCGGAACCACCTTTTCAGCTGCTTCTCATCACGTCCTTCGTCTAAAGATGAACCCTGTAAATTAAGAAACCATGACATCTTTGAAAAACGCCATATTATGACACGGCGAGGATCTCATGGATGGTGTGTGTGAGCGTCCTAGCGTGCCCAACAGCTTGTCGTATCAGCCTGGCTGCGATACACTCACTATGCAAGCAATGGTGACACATACATGGCTTTACATCAAGGTTTCTAGCAGCTCAGTGAAGGCGGCCTTTGATCCTCGGAGGCAGATCTGGTACGTGATGTGGATATCACTTAACATTGGCGAAAAGAAGGCGCCCATGAGGCGAGGCATAAATGTCCTCAAGAGTAGCTGGAGCTGGCACCTTTGAAACTCCAACAGGCCGGTTCAACGATATCGAATCCAGGTCCATGTCTTTGGCCGTCCCTCCAGCTTGGGCAAATATAGTTCGGAGATGTGATTGGGATGATGTTTCCAACTGTCAGGAATGGGATTCGAGGAGCAGTTGGAACTTGGCGTAACTGTCAGGAGGCCACTGCGGAGCCACGGAGAGGGGGCTGCTTCGGGGCTGAGGACTACGAGAACGCGTTTATGAGAATTGCGGAAGGCCCTCCTAGCTTCGGAGGGCCAAAATTCGGACGTATTACACCCCATACCTCTTATCTACTGCCTGCGGACCACGTGCGGAAGACCTCTTCACTCCGCTCAACCCCACACTCTGACGGTACCGTGCGTGACTTCAAGGCGCATATCTGTCTTAATTTCATCTGAAGTGTTCTGTGTTACGAACCAAGACACAAGCTATGGAGCGTACGTCAAGTACCAACAGCGTTCCACAGTTCGGAGCACACGCTGTGTCCTCATTGATCGAGTCTGAGAGAACGGGTTGCTACCCTCTCTACCACAACGATCTGCCTGAGACGATGGCGAGAACAAATTCACTCTCAATGAAGACGAATTTACAAAGCGAGCGGTCGGGAAGTTTGACTTGGGAAGCCGCATGCCAGAGCTGCTGCAATCGCACGCGACTGAGTACCCGAAGCCGTTCATGCAAGTCGAGGTGTACCTGTTTCGATTCTTCATTGAATTGGGGCGGATAAATCCATGCGCAGTTCGAGCCAGCGGCTGTCAAGCCTTATTTAGCCAGCAGATTTCGGGGCTTCGTCTGACCAGGCGGCGTTGGAATGTTTCCATCGTCTGCACCACCGACTATGGTCTTGCCCCAGCCATGCATTCCAAACGCGCTGCCCAGTGCCCAAATTTAACCCCGAGTCCACAGGTGGCGCTACCATGCCCAGGAATGTTGTTTGCTCTCCCGCCACATCCTTAATTGTGTCAGCCATCGTCTTAGGAAGGTACCCAGCCTCGTTACTTCATCAGTATAACATACGAGCTGTGAAGCGCCGATCGAGGCGGTGACTCTGTATTACCAGACGTAGACTTTTCGCAGTCTTACGATCACCATCAGCAGCCATGACACGAACGAGGAAAGAAGTGGACTCAATGTCAGACAGCCTCGAATCGCTGGAAACAAAATCCTCCATGTCAGGAGATGCCAATTCGCTGATCAACCGTCCAAAACCTTTCTCCATCATCCTCCTTCTTACCCTTTTCTTTCTCCTCATGGCCTCGATCGGTGGCCTGAGCACATCGGCGGTTGACTTCCGAACACAAGGCCCGCCGCGACGGAGCTGCATCACTCAGAGCTTCGTCATGTTTTCGGTTCGTCCTCTCACTCCAATCTATCTCAAAGTGATCTAGCTCATTTTCTACAGTCGCTTCTGTCGCCAATATACGTTTTTCTTCACCTTTTTGTTTCGTTCCGCAATTACGAAGTCTCCCGGCGACAGCCGCTCCAATCACCTTTTGTTTCTTGGACAATTATTGTCGCCAGACTGAGCCTCCTCTTATGGGTTGTTTCAGTCATTCTTACGGCAGTGACCGTGGCCCGGCTGGACTCCAATTCAGTCATCACCCGATCCAACCTTGCGATTTCCATATTTGGAATGTAAGTCGATCATGTATTCCGAGCTGTTCAAAAACTAAATCAAGGTAGAATCTCGGTGACTGTCTTAATCTTGACCATTGAGATCGCCACCCATCCATTTGAGCTCCCATTCACACCACGAGCAACAACTGTCTCTTGCCTTGTCAGCTCTTTTGAAGACGATTTGAAGAGAGGTGCCGGCCTCCATTACCGAACCATGACCATGGATTCGGCCTCGTCCATGGCTTCGAGTAGATCCAGTGGTTCGCGGAAACAGTATATGATGCCACCGCCAGGCTGCAACCGCTGTACGACTATTGTTGAAGAGGAAGAAGCCCCCATGGATCAAGATCCACTTCTCCAGCGGAACGACTCGCCACCTATTCTGCCTGAACCCTGCCATACGCCACCCGGTACTGCATGGGCTTCGGATTGGGAGAAACTAGCAGTTGATGCCGGTGTGAGTCGGAACAACTCAGTCAGTGACTACAGCACATCAGCTGCTAGTGATGACATGGAGGTTCCCGCTTCGCTAGCGATTCGACGACCGCCGCCCGCGATTATTGTTACCCAAGGGTAGACCCTTCCCGAGGATTAGAGGCGGTGCATGATCTATGATGGTACATGATGGCATGACGATACGATTTTATGATGAACGATTTAATTCCTTATTGACACGCTTCCCGCCTGTCTGAACGAAAGCCAGAATGGGTCGCAATGTCGGCAAATGTAATGTATGAGAAGAGAAATGACCTATAATGAGCTTCCTATCGAGGGTCGAATGTGGGATGATAGTGTTTTGAAAAAAAAAATGTACGACATCTAAATTACTGCCTTGGGTGCTGCAGGTCTGTTCAAGGCTTAAGACCACGATGCTTGCTGGGTCCTGAATTAAAAGGGTTTGGAATCAAAAAGTATGCTAGCTTGAGTTAGTAATACTACAGCAAACGTGAGCTAGTTCTTGGACAATCCCCAAATTGCCAGGTATGTTACGAAGCCATCCCCAGTTGACACGAAGCTTGTTATAGGCTGTTACTCGACCTTAGTGGCCTTAACCTTGATAATTCGCCGAAAACTTTAGTCTGAACTGTTACTATTCTCCTGGGCGGAGGCTCATCAACTTCTATACTTTTTGGACGCCGGTCTACGAATTGCGTGCAAGGAGTCCCGCGCCGTTCTGCTTTGTCGCCCTGACACAGCCAAGAACATGCATCCCGCCGCTACATGGTCACGACACGCCGACGAGGAAAAGACAACTATATCCCGGTACATTCGGGTGACGATAATGTTGGCTTCCGACTTGCCCCTAGGGACATGGACGCTTGCGGGCCCATGCCGTAGGATATCTTACTCACTCGTTCGTCTTTCTATCGTCTTCCCGAGAGATCAGACATCCACCTTGACTTTAGGCTTCCAAATTGCTGGGATGAGACTCCAAAAATGAGCTGCAAGCACTTTCGAAGCTGTCTATCAGAGGCTTCAGACCGAGCGAATCAGGTCTTTGCGGGCCTGTTGGGCTTGGTTTAAGAGAGAAATTCCTAGGTGGGCGCCGGATATGGCTTATCAATCAAGGTGGGGGGCTTCCGGCCGGCCGGCCGACTTCAAGCCCGCTGCAGTAGAAAATACACGATACCGTTACACAACGGAGCATAATGAGATGATCAACCCCAGAGAGCCTAAGACGAATTGAGTATTGATAGACGGCAAGATGCAATGCGTGGAGAGCTTCATGCGAAAGAGATATTGGTACATGAGAGAATACTGCACGTCCATGTATGTGAGATACCGCCATGAGATCTCAGTTCTCTCTCCGATTTGTCCCCCCACCGCGAGATGAAGTGTATCTTGAGATCAACCACAGGCCGTTGGAATCAGAACATTTGTTCAGTGTGCTGCATCAGTTGCCTAGTATCAATGGGGCAAATGACATGAAGCTTGAGAAGGATCAGCGTCACCTAGCTTAACTTAGGTATCCCAGATGTCCATGAGCATATGAATGTCAGGAGCGAATTGTGGAGACTGAGAAACATACTCTCTTCAGGTCACAGAGATGCGCCTGAGGTCCGGTTGAATATTGACACCGACCATTCAGAACATAATTAGGTGCCATCAATCAATGGGGCCGCCCATGAAGCACACAAAGCATAGTCATGATGTATAGGTCCCAGGAGGCACTTCCATCGATGGTCGCAGGCTGTTATAGAGGGGTTCTGGCTGCTAGTATGTACCGCTTCTGTCAGGGGGACCCTGCGGGTTCCCTGCAGAGTCGCCAAGCAGGGGGTCGGTCAGAGGCTAAGGGCTATAGGAAACGTATATATAGGCTGCGGGAGGGCCCTCTAAGCTACGGAGGGCTAGAATTTAAATATATTCCGACTCCCTACCTACGTTTTATTTACTGCGGATCGCGTGTGGAAGACCTCTTCACTCTGCTCTGAACAACGCTCTGACAGCTCCTCAGGTCTAGTGCAACTCCAAGGCAAGTGCTAAATGAAGTCCTTGGTGGACATGACATTCACTGCATGAAAGCTGATGCCAAGTCTAGGGTATCAGGCCTGATTGGGCGTGCCATGTACGATGGCGAGCTTTCTATTGGCTGGACACAGCCGGATTTATCAACAATCGAGGTGCCGGATCTAGAATTTAGAGGAAGTGGATTTGCAATCGGTCGCGAAAATGGGCTCATGCTGCAACTGGCTATGTGCCTGGCTGTCGACACTTGTAACACTCAAGAATTACTCTAGACGTGACAGGCAACCCAAACTCCACAGCGTATCAAAGGGAGGTTGGCCAGCCTTTCTCGGTACCAGAGAATATCTAATCAGCGCCTTTGTGGCTGTTCTTAGTGCACGTCATCGCCCACTTATCAATCGTTGAACCGATTATCCGTGCTTGTGGCTTGACATACTCCAGTGACAAACTTAGCATCTCCATGTTTAGGGATCCGAGATAAACAAAACACACAGGCTTGGCAGATCTCCGGGTCAATATCCCAGATTCGGCGTTTCTTACTAATAGCCGAAGCAAGATTAATTAGCAAGAGATGCATGGCGATAAAGAATCGGATTTGGCTTATGCCCTGACCCGCCCTCAAACATGTCGACACCCACCTTTGACCATGACACCAAAGCCAGCGATTTGGTGCGCCACTATGCTGTCAACATCGTCAATAAGACAATACTTGTTACTGGTGTCTCCCCTTCTGGTCTTGGGGGCAGCTTTATGCAACAAATCGCGCCTTCAAAGCCCGCCAAGCTTATCCTCGCTGGTCGTATGCCTGCCAAGTTGCAAAAGCTTGTTTATGAGATCGCCTCAACGCACCCTGAGATTAAGGTCAAAACCCTTGAGCTGGATCTTGCGTCTTTCTCCAATGTACGCAAGGCTGCCGAGATGGTAATTGCTTTGCCAGATATTTCACACATAGATGTCCTGGTAAACAACGCTGGCATCATGGCCGTGCCGTTTAGCCTGACCGAAGACGGCTTTGACACCCAATTCCAAACGTGCCACCTCGGTCATTTCCTCTTCACAAGCCTCATCATGAATAAGATCCTAGCTTCCAAGGAACCTCGGATTGTCAACATCAGCAGCAATGGGCACCGCCTCGGCACTATGCGGTGGACCGACTATAATTTCAGTGACGGAAAGTACTATGAAAAGTGGGCAGCCTATGGGCAGGCAAAGACTGCAAATATCCTCATGGGGATAGCATTGGCGAAGAAACCCGGCGACAGAGGTCTTCTCGCCTTCAGTCTTCATCCCGGCGGCATCATGACGAACTTAGTGTATCACCATACAGCTCCATTTGATGACTTCGTCGAGGATCTACGACAAGCTGATGCTAGGGTTGGCACACGATTCATGTGGGGCTTCGAGAAGACGGGGGGCAAGTTCAAGGATCTCGACGAGGGCGTGGCAACACATGTTTTCAGGCCTTTGACCCAACAATCGCAAAGAACAACGGTGGCTACTTTGACGACTGTCAGCTCGCAGATCCCTTTAAAGAACAGGTCTATCCCTGGGCAATAAGCAAGCCTGACGCAGAGATGCTCTGGACGCTCAGCGAGAAGTTGGTGGGGCAGGAGTTTCGATACTGAGAGGCTGCGAAGCACAACTGATGGTGCTGGCTATGATGGGGAAGATGTCTGGTGATGTGGAACATGGAACCAGTCAAGATCGTGTTTTTGTTCCAGAAAGATAAAGAAATTAAAACAAAGGGAAAAGAATCATAACCTAGCACTCTCTGGCCAGCCTTAAACGTACACTGGAAACTCGGCCCCTCCTCTTGCCTTTTCACAGCGTTGGTACTCGGCACAGGCAAGTGCCACAGGCAGGGGTTCTTGCCTACCATCATCCAGGACCACGCACAGAGCACAAAAGCTCGACGTCATGAGTACTCATTCACCCTGATTGCATGTATCTCCGAAAATGTTTAGGCTTTCTAGCTTTACATTCACTTAAGCAAATTGGGCAGCAAATCGGGTGAAATACCCTCTTTGCTCTTTGTAACACAATCTTTCCCACAAAAAAGAGAATCCTGCGTCAATTCGAATCTCATTGGTAACGATTATTCTCTACTTGACTTGGTGACTCACTTGCAGTCCCAGCCTACTTTCAATATGGACACTCCGGACAAACCCTCCAGCAAACCAACATTCACTGCTCAGGCGAAGTCCCACGACAAGTCATCGCAGGAGAACCAATCTCAAGCACTTGCAAGCGTCTCGTGTGAAGACACAAGAGGATTTTGTGCCGTTCAACGCGCCCTTCCCGATGCTGAAAAGGCTCCAGGCGATGCGGGTGCCATCGAAATAGCAACCAGGGGTCTTCCTACGAGATCAAAGCTCAGTACGTCAAGCATTAACTCAGATTCGTGTGGAGAAATCTAACATGCCTGAAAGCAGATCAAGAGCCTTTGGTCACACGAGATTCAGCCGGCCGTGTCTACGGATCGGCAAGTGACTCCGAGAAGAGCAGGGCTGGCACAAAACCCGAGACCAGTGAGGAAAACTGGGAGTTCATCAAACATTTTGTCGATCATCGTTAAGAAGAAAATAGGACTGTAAGAAGACTGGAGAAGCAACAGGGTCTACCTGGTTTGCGGACGTGAACGAATGCAAAACATAGAAGCTCGTTCGCAATTGGCAGCTGTTTGCAACCGAGCTGTTCCATGCCTTTGTCGTTCATTGAGTCATCCAAAGCTGCAAACTTCTCTATTTCCTGATACTTCCAAAGGTTTTTTTATGGCTCCATGCATACTATCATATTCAGTGTCCACTTGTCAGGGAATTCCATCTGTTGTTGCCTCACCACCGGCAATCTCCTTATTGTGAAGCTCGTTAGGGACTCGATTCCGCCTTGCCAGGGCTCGACTCCTCAGCGAAACCACAGAAGCGCCCCACGGAGATCGTTGGAGGAAACAGACCCAGAGCAATATGGCCACACAAAGGGCTAAAAGACCCCCCATTGCGACTCCCACGACCATCCCGATTGTTTTGGGATCCTCCTGCGATGGTTGTTCGGCGTGAATGGCAGGCATTCTTTGATAGGTTGACGTGAGCTGCTATTAGATCGATTTTTCTTTTCGAAGGCAAGAATCGAGAAGTCAGATTGCAATATGATTATTTTGATTGAATAAGAAATGCGATATCTGTTCGTCCTGTCAGTCCTGCACCACACTCGGAACATAGCTGCTCATACATACCTGTGGAGGGAGAAAGCCAATGGTCAGCAGCGAGCGTGGCTTCATGGCTCATCAATCTACATGCGCCCTTCTCGCTTTTTGAAAGTCAGTGTTCGCCCCTTGTCAGATTTATGTTTCATGGTGGTAGGACGTTGGTCATCTCACGCCGTCCCCTCTGTGGACTCTTGCATATTTCGTAACTGCCGTGCACGCAGCACAGACCCGTACAGCTCTGTTTGCACCAGTCAACCGTGGGATGCTGCATAGCAATCCCGCCGATTGTCCGACCATCGAGCAAAACCTGTTGGTCACAATCACATGGGCACAGAACACGAAGAGAGGACTATCAGTTTAAGAAACCCGCTGGCAGCCCAGGCCACGGTATATTCTGGACAATATTTAAGAGAAGAAGAAATCACTAAGAGCTAGCTTGTCGTGGTCATGAATACTAAAGAGAAATCTCTTTAAGAGCACTTGGCAGGGCTGGGGACGTTCTGGCAGCTCTTGGGCTTGCCACCGCCAGTAACGTTGACGCCACTCCACTTCCAGTTGGAGCAAGCACCCTTGGCGCAGAGAATGTAGACGTTAGTGCCCTTGGAGGCAACGGTGCCAACGACCTTGTTGATGGTGAGGTCGGTGATGGGGACACCAGCCGTAGGGGTACCGGTAGGGGAGCCATTCTCGTAGTCCTGCTCGATGACGATGCCGTTCTTGGCAATGTTGGACAGGGTGATGGTGTCGTAGATGACGTCCGAGACGGAACCGGTGGCACCGGAGATGGTCTTGATACGGACACCGTTGTCAGAGTTGGAAATCTTGCTGTTGTTGATGCGGATCGTCTTGACGACATTGTTAGAGCGGTTTCCAACAGAGCCAATAGAGAGGCCATGGCCGCCGCTGCAGTTGCCTCCAGTGAATGTGATGTTGGTGCCAGAGTTGATAGCAAGGCAGTCGTCTTGGTTCTTCACAATGGCGCCGGAGATGAGAATGTTCTGGGCGTTACCGACATCGAAGCCGTCCGTGTTGTGGCCACCCTTAGAGTCGCCGGCCGAGGCGTCGAGGGTCACGTCAATGAGCTGGAGGTTGTTCACCGTGTTGACACTGATTCCATGCACAGGCTGATCCTTGAAGTTGAGGCCCTTCACAATCGAGTTGTTAAGGCCCTTGACGGCAAGCAGCTTAGGCTTGGTCTTGCCGCCATTGCCACCCTGGCCATCCCACCAGCGGGCGCCATCGGCGTCAATGATATGGCCGGAAGCGCCCTCGACGGTGATCTTCTCGCCAGAGATCTGGATAAGAGGTCCTTCCCACTCCTTGTAACCGAAGGTAGTCTTGCCCTGGAAGACGACGTGGGCGCCGCTCTTGAGGCTGGAAAGGTCGAGGGTGGTGCCAGCCGGGACAGCAATGTTGTTGAGAGTAATCGAGTCACAAGTCTTCTTGCTCTTGGCAAGATCAGCGGTGTTGGTGAAGGTGCAAGCGGTGGCACGGGACTCAATGACCTCAAACTTGGCGGGAAGAGGATTGGCAGCGGCGGTGGAAGCCAGAGCTCCGAGAGCGAGGATGAGGTTGGTAAGCATTTTGGTCAAAGAGGGAGAGTGGATGTGAATATCGTTTCAAACGGGAGGGCGAGTATGTATGAGCTGTTGCGTATGTAAATATGTTGCAGTGAAGATGAAAATGAGTATGCAAAGCAGAAAGTATGTAAAGAATGAAGTACTGGATAGCTGCTGAGGAGTCGATGCCAAGAAGGAAAACAAAATTGTAGTCCATGGCCACTTGGCCCGCCCTTTTGTAGATTTGTCGTGCATTGCAGTTCACTCATCGTCGACTAAGTCGGTTTGACGATATGAGATTGCCATCAAGCTCAGGGTGAGGTGTGGAGGTGAGCCGGGGCAACTGTCTGAATCAGGATAGGGCTGATGTCGACGGGCCCGAAAGCCCAGAACATTGGAGGACTAGGGGCCCCCGTAGCCCCCGGTCTTGGGCCGCGCGTTCGCCTAACCCCCTCGAGCGACACAGCCATTTGGCACTGCAGTTTTGAGCCGCATCACAGACAAGACGACGTGCCGGTAGCCGAACAGCCGGGTCCGACGGGGATTGCATAGGGTCATGCGTTGAGTAGACAGCGAAGCCTGGGGCTACAATGGCGCGAAAACCTGGGGCGCATTTCAGCTGTGGATGCAGAGCCACAAGCTCTGGCCTGTCACATCGCCTCCTGACAATGACGGACATCTCCAAGTCGTCGCCCAGTGCTTGTTAGATGCTTGTTGACGATGCCGGCGCGCCGATGCCCCTGGCGTTTACCCCTCCCGTCTGCCGGCGCCATCTCCCCAGGCTCCGTGCCTGAAATGCGCGTAGACCTGAATCTTTGGCATCGTCTGGCGCCGACTAACCGAATCTTAATTATTCTGAAGCAACGAAACCGATTCTCCCGTGGAACTATTTGTTTCCGTCCACCCAGGCCTACACTAGTAGGTCGTATTGCAGTGCTCATCAGTGGACGCCTGTCAACAACCTTCAGTTGTTTGATTTTGCGCCAGAAATGGTGATTTTCCTGAAACCGCCGATACAAATCAGGGCAATCGTTGCGATTAGCGTGCGACCTCGTGCTTTGAAGCTCTTTTTTGGGTTGCATCACAACTGTGTTGGGATCCTCTCGTGAGATGTCCTTCCGGTCTCAGCAGTGCCGCGTCTTTCTGATCGTAAGTCGATCAATCCCAGACGGGCTAGACCACGATGTCGCGCGGAAAGCCAGACTTGAGTTTGCACCTATCACACGCGCAGTCGCAGACGGGACGAAAGTACGTTTACCTTTAGAGTTGTTGGGTTCGTGGACATGGCAGCTCTCTGCCGTCCGGGGAAGCTTTCGCGTGTGATGCAAGACTCATAGGTCTCCTTGAAGCCGATTCGCCACGTGAGCATATGCTTTCGGATGATAACATGGGGTATATCTGTAGTCGATGATACAATGCGCTGGGTTTTCCGCCGGGCACGAAGCCCGAAGTCCCAGAACAATAGCATGCTGAAGGATCATGGACTATTCAAGACAAGCTTCTCGCTTTCGGTCTGAAAATGCTCCCGTAGCTGACATGGGCACATGTCCCAAAATATGGAACAAGGATTCCTTGGGGACGGAAAATCTCAAATAGGAGATCATATCCAGCGCTACCTAGACAGGCATGGTTCGTCTGTTCTGACGAGCGGTAACTGCCGAGTCATGTTGCTCAGGGGCAATATCAGACAATGTTGGAGCAGAGTCAGGCGTGCAGTATCGCTCATGGCCATGTCGGAGGAGCGGACAAATGCCAAGCCCACTCCCGTCGGTCCAGCCGGCCGACCGCACGGGTATTGTACGCGCGAAAAGGAACGCACTCGGCCGGAACGTAGAACCTGGGTCCCAATGTGTATGGGACAGAACAGAACAAACCACATGATGCTCTTACGTTATCGTACAGGTTTTTGTTAAGTGGTCAATTAGGCGGCGACTCAAGAATCTGACGCCTAGTGGCAGTGTCAGGCCACAGATAAGCAGCCAGGCTCCTACAGGAGGCTATTGTCCTTGCGAGAGGCCAATCGTGTGATCAGCCATGCCAGCGCTGACCGATGGGCAAACTTCTTGGCTCAAGGCGCTGGAGGCGACATGGATGAGGTGGCTGGCCAAGAGCGAAGAGGGCAGTACTCAAGTGGCGTTGATCGGTCAGGAGAGCTCCTGTGGGAGGTGAGGTTGCGGGAAAAGGGATGACGTCTCATACCAGGCGGATGAAATCATCACCGCTCCTCCTCTGTAGACTAGGCCTGACAAGGCCGGCGAGGAGGCGAGGAGGCCAGCGGGCTGGCCCCGGACCAGTTGGCCACCCGCGAGGCCAGTCAATGGGAACGCGTCGTGGCCTGCGGTAAGGCATATTTGTGAGAAGCTTGCATGGAGGGTCCGTTCTGCTGGCACCCTCTGCTTTCTTTTCCAGGCTGAGTCGGGGTAGCCGGTGATGGGAGGAATGCGATATGGTCAGTCAGAACCGTGAGACATGCCGCTAGTGCACAAGTCGTCGACTCTGATGACGCAGGCCGACGACGCAACGGTGGTCGTTGAAGGCATTTCGGCCAACGGACGAGACGGTGAGTAGACAGATACCAGAGAGACAGGCGTCAGGTAAAGTGCTCACCGTAGCGGGCAGGAGATGGCTTTCTCCTTATGTCAGACTGTGAAGCTCGGTGAGAGATTGTGAGGGGCCGGGATGTGCTGGGAGGTCAGTAGCGACTGGGTGGCCCTCTCGTAGCGTGGGCGCGACTTCCGCTCCACTGCCTTCATGCGCACGCACGCCTGGGCATCGCGACCGCGACGCCAACACGAACACGCACGGGGAAGCCGCTGGCGGGAATCGAGGGCAGGCTCCCCCCTTTATTGTCGCGCGTGGGTAGTAGGGGAAAAGTGGGGTGAACGCCATTTCAACGCGCAAAGTGGTTCGCTCCTACGCCAGGAACACGACGCGGAAGTCTGGCTGTCATTGGCTCCCCGTTGGCGCTCGTCCCCTCCAACTCAACGCGACGATTGGTCCTTGGCAGTAATCATCAGCAACAACTTGCCAGGCCGCAGATGCATGTCCGCTCCCCAAGTCTCACCAGTCGCCACAACACAGCAAATCACCACCCACAACTGCACTTTCATCGAGGCACATCTCCATTCAGCTCGATGAACTCGCCCAACACACATTCTTTCCCTTCCTCGTTCATCGACCCACCTGATCAATCGTCCATCTCCTGCGTCTACCCTGCGTCTTTGGCCTCGTCTTCAACCGCGAACCGTCTCAGCATCGGTCGTGTATCTGCTGTTCCTGCTTGCCCCTCTTCCTGAGAACCTAGGCGTGAAGAGCAAGCTTCAGACACACCAGACGACCACAGCACCAGCAGCACCAATCGAAACTCACGACCTCTCCCCAACAGGTTCAGATCCATCTTCCGAGGCCTGCGCCATCGACCCGACCCATCTCAGTGACCACGCGCGCTGAACTGGTTCCAAGACAATCCACCCAAGCCCGCTGATCCCCTCTTTGGTCCGGCCTTGTCTCGCTCCCTCTCCCTGCGCACACCACTTCCGCTCCCTTTTGTCCCTCGCTGTCCCCTCCTCAATCATTCATTGCTCCTGCAAACTTCGTTTTCTTGCACATTGCCCTGAGCACAAACCCTCGAGGCAATAACCAACAAACCATTGCCGACTCTATCGTGTCACTGTCTCCCCTTGGACATCAGCACCACTCCTTTTGTCGGTGAAGGGAGCCGGTATCCTCATCGCTTCTTGTTGGCAACGCCCTCAACAGCAATCGATTGCCCCTCAAAAACGAGTCGGTTTGACCTGGTGTCATCGTCTTTTCATTCACTGCAACTTGCTATCGCTTCGCAAATCAAAATTACAAGACGTGCCCCAACCACGATCGCCATGACTACTCTCTCCCGCCAGCCCTTTGCACCTCTCGACGGAGCCCGCCTCCAGAACTTGGGTAGTCTGAAGAACCGCCAGAATGGTATGGTTCGTGTACGCCGATACGTCCGTCCATCACTAACATTAGAACAGCTCTTACACAAGCTTCAAGCGCCAAGCGCAAGGCCGCTGATGTAGTCGAGAGCGACGACTCCGAAAACATCGACCCCTCCCTCTTCTCTAAACGATCCAAAGCTTCAAGCGTCTCGTACCCTGCCAAGGATCTCCTTAAGCCTACTGCCTACATCCTGAAAGCTTCCACGCCTCTGAACCAGAGCTCGACCATCCGCAGCTCCACCAAGGCCACCAGTTTGACGTCTACGCGTGCTCGTGCTCTGCTCCAGCCCAAGTCTCCAGTCGCAAAACTGAACACGGCCATCGCCAAGTCCTCGCCCTTTTCCGCACCCGCTGGTCGCTCTCCGACGCGCAGTAAGCGTAGTGGCATTTTGTCTAGCCGACGTCGGACTACTGGGCCTTACACCCGTGTGGACCCGCCCCTCTTCAACCTCTCCGCCGCTGCTCCCTTCAGCCTCGATGCTGCCCTCAAGGGCACTATTCCCAGCTACGCCGCGCGTTCGCCCGTTGCCGCGCAGCCTCTGACCACACCCGTCGTCGCATCGCCCAGAGCCTCGGTTACTAAAGATCTTCTCGAGCCTGACATGAAGGCATCGTGGTTCTTCGATATTCACGAAGACACCCCTGAGCAGGAGATGACCAACATGCTACAGCATGGAACTTGTGTGCTCGACATCAGTTCAGATGAAGAGAGCGAAGTCAAGGCCACTCGCGAGCGCGCAGAAGGCCGCGACAAGGAGAATGTGCCCCCCGCCGACGATGTTAGTCAGACGACTGCACGCCAGAGCCGCAGCCAAGAAGACGATATGGTCATCGAGAAGCAGAGGACAGCGCTGGGCGAGATGGATGCTGCTGCATTTTATGCTTTGGGTTGTGATGAAAGCTCGGTCATATTTGTTCCCGCGGACGAAGAGCAAGAGGCCTCGGTACGAGGACCTAGCACATTCGAGTTGTCTACGGAGCTGAATGTCGAGTCAACGGAACTTGTCATCGAGGTTTCAAAGGAAGTTAACGGATTGATGGAGAAGACGGGTACACTTGCTGCCAAGGCAGCTGTGCTTCAGCCAGTAGAGGGCACTGGCGAGAGCTTCGAGGTTTGGGAGAGCGATAGCACGAAAGGCGACGACGTGGAAGCGGTGGCGACGGGACATTAATCGCGGAATCATGACGGTTGATGTATGAGGTTCGGCCAGTTGGCCAATCTTTCATGAGCACACGATGGAAGGTTTGAGGGTATTGGCGGCGTTTTGGCTAGCGTTTGTTTTACAGGTTGAACTTGATCTGTGGAGAATGGGTTCGGGTTGTGCTTTGATTTGGCACTTTTCAAGTACCGATGAGTTGAGGCTGAATGAGATTATCATGTTTGTTTGTCTTTCCCTACATTTGTCCTGTGAGCCTGTGTTCAGCAAGCCACGTTCGCCGAGGCACGTGGGGTACGGCGGCCCCCTCCACAATGTGTGTAAGTGCTCCGTTGATAAGGCCAGGGGGGCTCCCATACACCGGCTCTCGGGCCAAACATTGAAGAGAACTCCGACACTAGTCAGGGGCTCAGCGGAACCTGTGTCGGCTTTGATATGGGCAGCTCAAGAATGATGCATCTATACAGTCCCATCGAACAAAGACGACGTCCTGTCGTACTCGGTTTCGGGGCGAGTCATGACACCTGTAGAGGGTGCCGTGCGTGCCAGCACGGAGAACTCTGTGGTCGAGCAATTAACTTCGAGAGCGTAGGGAATTGTTGCCGGGATACAATTCCTCTTCATAGCCCGAAAAAGACTTTCTGTGGAACCCACTGGTATGCGATGAGGTCCTGATCAAGTGGTACGGCACAGTGATTAAGGTTGGATCCGAGAGTGTTGGCATCTTGTCCTACCATTAACTTTGCCAGCGACTAGACACGAGGAGCGCTAGACGGATGCTCATGAATTCAGCGTAAAGCTTGTAAGATCAGAGTCACATTTGACTGGGAGGAATGAAGTAGTCGCCAGTTTCTTATAAAGTCTTGCTTTCGTTGCGGGTTCCCCTCTGGACTTGGTCTTGGTCTTGACATCCATTCGCTCCAACCTCCTACGTTCTTTTTGAATTCCACTCGTTCGACAGATGAATCCCTCACTGCACGGCCTAGTTCTGGCCGCCATCCTGGGCTTGGCCGGGGCCGTTCCTGGCAATCTCAGGTCTTCTGCCCCCCGCGGGTTTACCGGCAAACTGCAAGGCCCGAGAAGCGTTGGTCCTAGGGGTGTTGAAGCTACGTTTGTCAAGGCGACCTTGGTCAACAGCGATGATGTCAGCGCGAGTTTCTACAGCATCAAGGTAAAGGTGGGAACTCCACCCCAGGAAATCGATCTTCTTCTCAATTCGAGGTCTGATATAACTTGTGAGTACAGTCACAGATGCCTCGGGAAGTTGATGACTAACTTCGTCAAGGGGTTCCTTCATTGGATTTCAATGCCCGGAGATCCATCACATTCTCCAATAGATCCTTGGGATCTGTTGATGTTGTCTATGGAGACCCGACCGTCACCCCGCCGAGCCTGATGAAGTTCCACCTTGATTTGCATGAAGATGTCATGACAATTGGCGGAATTTCGATCCCCAAGCAGCGATTCGGAATTGCGAAACCTCATGAGGGTGACATCGGTGCCTTCAGTATTGGTCCTAACCGTGATCTTGGCTACGAAGCAGGCAAGCCATTCAACAGTGTCATTGATAATTTGGCAGCCCAGAGGGCGATTGCCAGCCGTACCTATAGTCTCGATCTGCGGAACTATGATGATCCCAAAGGTAGGCAATGATGGGATCTTGATTCGGCGTATCATACTGACCTAGCCAATAGCTGGCCTCCTCTTCGGCGCTGCCAATACCGGGCGGTTCGAGGGCAAGCTCGTCAAGCGACCTCTGGTGAAGGATGAACTGGGCACTTGGGAGTAAGTGAATATAACAGACCGGATATTGAAACCTTCATGAACCATCAGTTACTGACCCAGATGCTCTTCTACCCAGACCTTCCCTCGTTCTCACGGGCCTTGGCCAGTCCAGCTCGAACGGCTCGGAGGAGGTTTACAGCGTCGACCCCAACCATTCCACCTTGACGCTCGACACCTCTAACCAATATCTGCGACTGACTCATGCATTTGTTGATCCTCTTCTACGCGATATGGGCGCTGTCAACAATGGACGGGACGCGTATACCGCTCCCTGTTCCCTTCGAAATGGACCGGGAAGTTGGGACTTTAAGTTCGGCGAAGCGACGATTAAGATCCCGTATAAAGACATTATCCAGGATGCAGTCTTGGAAAAAGGCAGTGATCATTGCTTCGTGGGAGTTTTGGTGACCTGGAAGGGACAGTTGGTGCTCGGAGGCAAGTCGAAGCTACCACAACCTTTGGAGCCAGCGCTCGCTAACACGGACAACGAACAGCACCATTCTTCCAAGCGGCGTACATCAGCTACGATTTTGATAACCGGCAAGTTGCTTTGGCCCAGGCAGCGGACTGCGAGGGCAAGGTTGTCACCTTTGGTAGCGGTCCAAACGCCATTCCGGACCTAACCGGTTGCAAACCAGCGTAAGTGATGCCATTTCTGTCTTGAGGCGTGAATATGCATGTTCTCGGCGAACAGAATAAGGGTGAAGATGCGTGCTGGACCATTTGTGTCCTCAAGTATCGATGAAATTTCTTGTCGAATCAGATGAGCAACGTTTCTCGACATGTCTGCTAACAAAGACTTGTAGAGTAAGGGCCGATCCATCTGGCTCCAAGCCAGGCCACACAACACGGCCGTCAAACTCGACAACTTCGACCAACGGGGCTGAAAGAACGACGGTTCATCCAACCATGACTTCCACCATTTATGAAACCAGGGTCGCTACCATCACGGCTTGCCCCACGACGGTCCATAATTGCCCTCTGGGCGCTGTCACTACAGAAGTCGTCACCAAATTGACGACGTGGTGCCCTGGGAGTGATACTGTGATTACTCCTGATTACTTGGCGGGTGCCAAGCAGCTTGTGGCGAAGCCGACTCCCGAACCGAGTCTGATATGCGACGACGAAGATGAAGATGAGGATAATGGTGGAGCGTCTCACAAGTCTGGGGGTGAAGGCAACAAGTCTACGGACACGCCTGGCAACAACGGAAACAAGAACCAGAAGCCTCCCCCATCTGGAGTGGACAAGGGTGCACCCGGGCCAAATGGAGGCAAGACCGGAGCTAAAGACAACAGACCCCCCCCAGATTCGGTTGTGACTGCTGCTGGAGTAACCCTTTACTCTGTAGCGTTCTACAACGTGGCGTTTGCGAGTTTCCTCGCCGTTCTATTCTTGTAACAGGTCACCAGGCCTGACTTTGCCCTACAGTGTAGGTGCTGGCAGGAGAACGTCTCTGCATTGAAACACGATGTCAGATCTAGGTAGATGCACAGAGCGCAAGCCAAGAAGAAACTCCTGGTCAACTATAGATAGTAGCTAGAATAGCTTTGGTCGTACACGCTATTTCGCTACTGTTGTTTGCTCTCGTATGTGGCTTTGAACATACACAGTCAATTGCATGGTGAATCGTCATTATAGGTAGAGCGAGGGTGTCTACCACAACACCAGTACGTCAGTCAGTTTTGGGGTAAGGTGGTGGGAAACATTTGAAGTCCAGAACTACGGAATCTGCAAAAGTGTTGCTCTGTGTGTCCAGTCACGGGTGTGATAAAAAAAAGCCACACTCTTAAAAGTGAGTGTACTTTGAACCGTCATACTATACTATGCATCAGCCCAAAATTACTCAAAATAGAGAGAATATCTGAAATATCGCCGTTATCTACTTAAGTAGAATTTCAGAGCATTTCGTTGAGATACGAGTTGTTGAGATGGTTCTGAAGCTGGGGATATGTTTATGTTACCTGTGTTTGCCATGCCGGATTTGGAGCCGGCTTGTTCTGTCATTCACATGCCAGCGTCTCGGTCTGCAGGGGCCTATTTCTTGACTAGCATTCGCAATTGCCCCTGATGCCTTCGGGTGACTGTGACTCTCCGACTAAGTAAAAACCGACGACCTATTTCCGCCAGGGCTTTTTTCTCTCCATCTGTACGCTGCACAGTATTAACCTCGTGAGACAACAGTCTCACCATACGAACAGTTCCTGACGGAAACTCTTTGCAAGTAGTAGAGAGCTGTCCTTTCTATACTTATTTCATCGGTAGTCATTTTAGGTATGCTGCGAAGGAAGCATTGTTCGATTAATGACGATTTGCACTCAAAGAAGTATTGCTCTTGAGGAGAGTGAGGATGATTGGAAGCGTACCTATGATATTAGCGTATTTCTCCATGTCTGCTGGACGCGACCCCACCTCTGCGCACCGCACGCTGCACAAGGCCGTGGGATACTCATACGCTCAATATAAAGCCTCTCATCCTGCAACCAATTGCATACCTGCACACCAGCGGCCAAATGGCATCTATCAACGACCTAGCCATAGCTGCTATTGCGACATCCACCGAGGCAGATGCCTCCAAAGCCGCTGTCAGCCCCGAAAAAGAGGCCACAGCCCCAAGCATCGCTATGGATGACGGACAACTCTTGGCGCCCGAGTCGGCCATCACCCGCGGAGCATTGGTCATCCTTGAGGGCTTGGATCGCAGCGGCAAGACGACACAGGTGAAACTACTAGAGCAGCGTTTCGTCGAGCTAGGGAAGAAGGTGAAGGTAATGAGGTTTCCGGGTAAGATGAACCATCAACGGGCTCATGCGACACGATTCGCTGTCCCAGATCCTCGTCGCCTATGAGATACTTACGAGCCCTTACTGATGATTAATAGATCGCTCGACACCCATCGGCCAGATGATCGACGCTTACCTGAAGAGCTCCGTCGAGATGGACGACCACGTTATTCATCTTCTTTTCAGCGCCAATCGCTGGGAGGCTGTGTGAGCGGTCATGACAGTTCCCGAAGACTCCACATCACTAACATTGACAGGAAAACCATTCGTCAATTGCTCGCTTCCGGCACCACGGTCTTGTGCGACCGTTACTATCATTCAGGCATCGTCTATTCGGCCGCCAAGCACAATCCCTCTCTGTCACTGCATTGGGCGCGCGCACCTGACGTCGGGCTCCCTCGGCCCGACCTGGTCCTCTTCCTCGATCTCGATGAAGCGACAGCCAAGTCTCGCGGCGGTTGGGGTGGCGAATTATACGAACGCGGAGAGATGCAGCGCCGCGTGCGTGAGCTTTTCTGGGGGCTGGCCATGGGTCGGATAGGAGCCGACGGCGGTCTAGGGGACGAGGACCGGCGCGTGGACCGGGAATTCCGCCAGGAAGAGGAGGACTTGGTCGTCGTAGATGCGGGAGCCAGTGTCGAGGAGGTTGCGGAAGGGATATGGGAAAAAGTCCAACCGCGGGTGGAACTTGTGGAGAAGGGCCAGCTGGGGACCAGCGTGCGCAGCGTGGCGTGATCGAAGGTGTTGTGTTGGCCGTCATGATATGAAATCAGACATGCAGGGGCATCTCAAACGACGGCTACCTAGGCACGGCACTCATGGGCGACACCTACCAAACACCCCTCAAACTTATACAACCCCTTTTCGCCTCGTGTCCGAGCAACCTCGGTAAGATGAAATGTGTGGTATACACGCTGTGATAATACACCTATGTTACAGATCCACGTCTACTGCCGCCCTCACTGGAGTACTAATTGCGAAAGTATCCTCTCCCGCACAATCTTTCCCGCGACCTCGGCGCCATGCTGCAACGAAATGGCGCCAATGATGGCATGAACGGCACCGTTGAGCACGACCTGAACACCGGATCCTGCCAGGTTCTCGGGCTGTGCTTGTCATCAGCATGTCGTCCAGCTACAGGGCTCCTCGATGAAACTCACCAGTCTAGGCTTCCACCTGAGTACTTTATCCAGACCAACATCGATGGCCAGCTGCTCAATCTTTTCCCTCGAAACAACGTCATGCGGAAGCTGTGCATTGAAGTTGTCGAGCCTTGCAAGCGCAGGGTGCTCAAACGGCTGTCGGTTGAATTCGTCGGCGACGACTGCGCCGGGCTTGGGGGCGGCCGATAGAATGCTCTGAGCAACCTCGAGAACGACGGCTTGACGGCCTGCAAGCGTGTTAGCATATTCTTGCCATTATTCCGTAATAGCGTACGTACCGAGGAACGCCAGCCTGTCGTTGAACCCTCTCCTTCCGTAGTCGAAGCTCTTATGTGTGACAGCGAGCCACTTGATTTCCTCCGGCATAAGCTTGTCGCCATCCCGGCCCAAGAAGCGCACATACATTTGATCGAGCTTCTTGGGATCCGAATTGACGTGCCACACGCTGCGAGAGGGCTTCTTGGTGATGTGCGGCGAGAAGGGGGCCTTCATTGCCTCTGGGGTGTATGACCAGCGTGGGCGCTGGCTCTTCAAATCATCAGGCCTCTCAGAATCCTCCACCCGTCGGGATAACTGATCAATCTTGCTGCTGCTCTCGTTTTGGGCTTTGGCCGGGGTCGTAGCGAAGGTTCGGGCGCATTGCAGCGCAGGGGAGGAGGATGCGGTTCGCGAGGTTCGGCAGTGCTGAAGAGCACGCTTCGAGACAGCGAATGCTGCAGACCGGGGGTTGTTCGTCGCCATTGTGCCAACAATATCGGGAATGGCAAGGGCGTGATGCTTGGGTTGATCGTAGGGTCGACACGGGGCTAGAGCTCGCGGTAGGAACATCGCAGCATGACTTTTTTCGTCAACGGGAGCTTCGACGTCACGTGGACTCGCGCTGCTTACGGCATCGAGGCTAGGCCAACCCAGTGCTAGACCCTTGAATATCACCCCTGTCAGCTCCGACTCCACCTGCAATTGAAGGTCGCAACGCGTCCAAGATCGCGACAGCTGCCTTCTCGTTGACTTGTTGGGGCTCGTCGGTCGATTGGGTCGCGTCACCATCCATTGCGATCAAGACCAAAGCCGCAAAGGAAAAAAGTCAAGATAGTAGCCCTTTGCAATGTCTACTATCCCCCCGAAACTCGCACCAGGCAAGCCCCTCCTCGTCGAGAGGCTGTCACGGGTGCTTCCCAAGGATATCGCCTTTGGCGTTTACCACCTGTCAACGCCGCCAACCAAGACGGACGCACTTTTCTCTGCACCACCCAACGAGCACGAAGATAAGACTTACTGCGAAAATCACTTCCTTGCCGTGACTGTCGACGCAACCGGCTCAACATCAACAGCCAATGGCGGCGACCACGAAAGCCCGACGGTGCTTGCCTTTGCGATCGAGATATTCATCTTCACGACCGCGTACACGAGTACTTTCTTCGTCTCCAAGGCCGACTCCACCGGATATCTCGCACTTTTGGGCCTCCTGAAAGGCACGCCATCGCCCATCAAGGAGGTCTGCGGCGCCTTTATGTCATATCTCATCAAGCAGCGCCAACGCAAAGACAAGCAGTGCATTGTCAGCTTGTTCGCTCGTGCGCAGGATCAATATCTGTTTCCCGGTAGCATCAAGAACAAGACGAAACACGTGCTTGATGACAGGGGCTTGGTAAAGTGGTGGTGCAAGGTGCTGAATCCTTTGTTGGCATCGCCGCCGGCAGGAGACTGGGCGGCCGCCAAGGCCTATCTCGTCATCCCCGGGTTGGACGCGTACGAAACCAAAGCTTTCCTGCCCCGGACAGAAAATGTGGCCGCTCATTGGGAACTGGGACATCCGCTGGAAAGAATATCGCACTACACCAGGGAGTACGACTGGGTTCCGCCAAGATGCCTTATCCCAAAGTATCCCGACGACCCCAAGTCTCGGTACCGGGACGAGCTGGATGAAGAGTCGGCCAAGTCAAAACAGCTCCAGACGACAGGCATGTGGAAGGGCATCCGCTCGCTCGACCAGTTCTGGGAGATGCTGGCCTATCGACAAGAGTGCTCCAGTGGCAGGCTTACGGGGTTCATCTGGGTCGTGTTTGACCCCAAGAACGGTGAACAGAGAGCAGACGCTCCCGCATCTTTTCCTACGCCCAGCGCTTCCCTCAGCACGCCCTCCATGTCGGAGTCGCCTTCGACTCCATCAAAACAACGGACAACGGGCACGGCTAAACTGCTCCTCACCCCAAGAAAGCTTTTTCAAACGACAGAGTCCGCTGATGCAGCTTCCAAGGCCAGACCCGAGAAGAAGGCCAAGAAGAAGAAGAAGCCTCTCCGCGGCATCATCAAGACGCGCCAGCCCAATATCAAAACGCAACGACGCAACCAGTTCAAGACTCGCAAGATCAGCACTGCGTACTACTATTGGCCCCTCGAGGGGCGTGGGCAGCGAGTTGTCGAGGAATCGGCTTACAAACGTTCGATAGAACTGCTTCTCCACCTCGATTTTGCCAATTTGGATCTCGCTAAGGGCAGCACAAGGAGGTGGGTGAGTGAGGTTGGCATAGGCGAGCCGTGGGGCTTGGAGGTCACTGGCCAACGCGATGTTAGTGTGGTGGACCATGCAGCTTCTGCGACGGCAACTGGGACTGTGAATAACCTCTCCGGGATGGTGAAGCGTAAGAGGGCGCCAGCGATAGAGGAGAACGAAGATCAGCCTGCCAAGATCAACGTTCTAAGCGCTGGCCTCGTTCGGAAGAAGCCGAGGGCTTGATGATACCAACTCTTTTGATTTTCGGGCAAAAGGAAGCCTCGGCGGCGTTTCGGGCACTGGTTCACTTGGGTAACGAGGAATGTCGGGCTTGAGCAATAAACATGATATCTTTCTGGCATGGATTTGCACTGCGACGAGTCTGTCTATATGCGCTTTTCTCATGACGAACTGGCAGGGCGAAGTCACGGCACGCCATAAATCCTCTCAGCAATCGCTTAAGGTTTAGATCACACTGCACAAGGGTAATCGTAAAGCATACATCCACTCAACTCAAATGCCTACAGAAGAGCTTCCAGACCAAACATCATCCCTGCAGATGTTCCAGGTTCACGGGCGTGACCGCCGCCTGTCCGGCCAGCACGGCCATGATGTTCCGCATGCTCAGCTCCTCAAACCCAGCATGGGTCTCGACGGTGCCGCCCGCATTATGGCACGTCAGAAACGCCTTGGAACCTGCCATGGCGGCGAGCCTGGGATGCACCGCCGGCTCGGCGGCGTGCACGTCGAGCGCCGCGCTGCTCAAGAGGCCGGCCTCAAGGGCGTCGGCCAGGGCGGGTTCGTCGACAAGACTGCCGCGCGCGACGTTGACGAAGCGCGACCCGGGCTTG